CGGTCCGCTAACTTAAATCGTGTGGCGTGAACTTCATCATATCGCGTTCCTTCGTTTTGCTGTTTGGGCTTTTGGCGTTTCCTTGCCTCTGATAAAAACGTGAGCGTCTGCTTGTTGTCACGTTAGTTCTTGCATTTATTACCTTTATTTGGGAAAGAAAGGAGTTGAAAAAAGGAGTTGAGCAAGCTGAATAGGTAGGGGGAGGAGTCGCGGTTACCGAAATCCCGCTGTCAAGCTTGACTTCCTTTAGCACATCTTAAGCTGGAGGCACCTGGCTCTTCCTCGGTGTACTCCTCTTGTCTCCTGGAAGAGGAGAATACAGGGCAATGATAGCACCTTTTTTTTTTTCTTATGACAAAAAGCACCTTGTCTGTCTTTCTAGGAAAGCTTCCGTCTACCAGGAACTTCCTCTTAGGAGAAATTATCTTGTGTCTTTTTCTCCAAAGTGCAGTTCATGCTAGGGCCGGCCTTCACCCTTTGAGAGGTGAACTGACTAGCTAAGCAGCAACTCCCCCTGAAATTTCCACCGTGTTTAGCTGCTTGCAATGTCCTTTCAGGCTTCCTCCTGTAATTCCTTTGAGGATATTATGAAGTTCCACCAAAAGGGTTATCCAGCTGGGGTTTCCTTCCTTATCCCAGTATATTAATTGGGCAAATCAGTGAAAGATCTACTGATTGCTGTATTAGCATGCTTGGAAAATGTTTATAAGCTAAAAGTAGTTCCCCTTACTTGCAGACTCCAGTGCAGATTGCTACAAGGTAAGTTTGTCACTTACCACTGCTGTAGGTGTGTGACAAGTCTGTCTTTTCTTCAGGTACGCTCTGGACTGTCATGCTCTAGGCTAGCAGTGGCTTTAGTGACACATTGCAGCTAAAAACATGAGTGTGAAACATGTTAAATGCTTGACTGATATGCATGTAGTATATTGCAATACAGCCCCTCCAGCAATTTTTCTTTGTGAGAAATAAGTGGTTGGTGTTGATCTGAGGCAAGTCTAGTGAAAGAGCTGTGTTCTTTGGTTGCAAGCTGCAGTATGTAAACAACATAGGGAATTAATTTGTGCTTCAGTAAAATGAAGTGCTCTTTTAAAATTGCTTACTGTAGAGCATGGAAAATAATAATTCCACAAAGTGAAAAGGGGACAAAAATGAGTTCTGAATTCAAAACCTAACCAAAAGACAAGTTGTGGAACACTTGTAGCATTTGTTCAGTGATGTGAGCCTGGACATCCTGGTATCCACTTGTTTTAAAATCTTTTACTTACTTTCTTGCTTGTTCTGTAATATGCTTTTTTTTTTAATTCTGCTTTTGTCTTCAGCTCATTTTCTGCTTCCTGGAGATGTTCGGAATTTCTTACTATGCGGTCTTTCTCTTCTTTTTGTCATGCCTTTCTTGTAACAGTACTCCTTTAGTTTCCGCCTATGTATTTTAACCTGATAAAACTACAGCTGCGTGACTGGACATAGAACCCCCTGAGATTGCCTTTGCAATGATTGTACACTGACTCACTCTAGAAAAGATTATTTAAAGAGCCGAAGGTTGGAACATCATTTCAGGTATGTTCTTCACTTCTTGTAAAGTGAACACTTGCCCTGTTTTGGGGAGCAGCAGTTTTTGTGTTTACTGTCAGTCATATTCCATCACGCAAAACTTCATCCTGGAAGTCAAGCACATTATCTCCTTTTCTGTGTGTTTGTGAGATGATGTTAATTAGAAACATTGGCTTATTCTTGAGATTATTCTTTCAGCGAATAATTCACACATTTGCCACATGGTGGTGCCAAAGGCAAGTAACCCAAAGGTAAGTAAACCCAATTCTGCAAATTGTTGAATGAGATCTCCATGAACAGGAAGATGAACTATTACAAGAGTGGCTTATAGATAATACGCTTTGGTTGAATTTTGATAAATGCACTGTGGATATTAAAAGTTGAACTTTTGAGGCTATGTACAACATTTTGTGTATCTCTAAATGGAAGCATGAGGTCAATACTGGGGGTAGGGGTTGTTATTTTGGCATGCGTAATGCATCTATTTTGGAGAATACTCTTGCATAATAATAAATCTTTAGGAAAAGTATATTTCAACATAGTGATTGAGAGCTCAATAACAACTATTGCAGTAATACAATGTTATCAATGTTGCTCGTAAGCATGTTCACAGAAGGTTGTTTCAGTGTTAAGAATATTTATCACTAGCTGTGATCGTTGATCTGCAGGTGACAGTCAATAAATTCTGGCAAAATATGATAGAAGAGAAAATCATCTGAATGTGATTCTCTGGCTAACAGTTTTTTAATTCAGAATCATACTTTTCAGAATTTGCATGGTTTGGGTGAGAATTGGTAAAGAAAAGTAACTGAAGTAACAAAAGGATATTAATTGTCTATTAAGAAGTGCAAAGAAACTTTCTGGACAGCCAATAAAATTATATGAAATACATAATTTTATTTGATCTACCATCTGCTGGTGAATATATATCCAACAATTATGTGTTCAGTACTTCTTTTCATATTGTGTCATTAAATGTGAATGCTGTAAGATATGAATAGAGTATTAAAAACTAAATTGAGTAGTAACTGACATAATAAGGCTGTTTGAAATCTATACAAAAGTGTCTGAACGGGAGTATTAACACGGTAGGCAAGTATCTCATTTTGCTCTTTCGGTAACGTGCCTTTCTCAAAGAATTTCTACAAATGCTGCTCTGGTATCTAAAATGTTAGTGTAAGTTAGAATTGCCCAAACCGTGTTGATAGCTCTGGTAATATTGTTAAAGTTGTTATTATATCCGCATTTCAAAAAAAATGCATGTTAATAGCTGTCGCCAGCAGAACAGTCTCGACTCAGGAGATTGCACAGAATTTTCCTGCCAGTTAACGTAAGCTTTTAATTACTGATTTGAGGAGAAAAAAGGTAAACAATTAAAGAAGCGAAATTTAAGGTAACATCCCCGTCCCCGTGTCCCCCAGGTCCAGCCTCAGGCCAACACCTCTCCTCCCCCCTTCCTCCACCCCCAGG